TGCCCATCCTCACCCTTCTGCTTCCAACCCTCACCTCCTTGTACCCCAGCATGTTTTTCCCAATAAAATATAAAATAATAATAATAAATCTAAAAAATAATAATAAATATCCAGTAGTTTTCTTGCTGAGTCTTTAGGGTTTTTTAAGCATACTATCATATCATCTGCATAGAGAGATAATTTAACCTCCTCTTTGCTAATTTGGATACCTCTGATTTCCTTCTCTTGTCTTATTGCTATTGCTAAGACTTCCAATACAATATTGAATAGGAGAGGTGATAGTGGGCATCCTTGCCTAGTTTCTATTCTCAAAGAGAAGAGTGAATTGTGGGGAAGGTGGTAGTCAGGGAGAAAAGTGGAACAATGGATGAATGGAAGGAAACTCTTAAGTCTCTGAAAACTTTCATTACAATTTCTTTAAAAAAAGATAAATATCCACTTATAGTTAAACTATATACCTGAAAATGTTAGGGAAGAGGGTCCCAGGGGAAAGGGCTATTTCAGAGTTGACTTCATTCTGTATACTTAAGTTTTGGTAATTTTGTTTAGAAATTAATAAAACTAGACTACCATTAGAAAAATCCATCTTTACTGGGACCATTTTTATAATTACAAATTAAACTTCTCAAAAGCAATGATTTCAGGGGAGCTCTGGTGGCCTAGTGGTAAGGAGCTGCAACTACAATCCCAGAGGCGCACGGTTCTAATCCACCAGAAGCTCTGCCGGGAAAGGAGGGACAATCTCCTCCTGTAACAGTCAGATCTGATTTGACGGTACACTCACACAAAAATACTAAAATAAAATTTAAAAAAATTTAAAAAAGCAATGATTTCATATTACGGTATCTCTCTTTTTATAGCAACCAGATCAAAACCCAAATCCACTGTTGAGTTGATTCTGAATCACAGAAAAGCAACCAAATAAAACTTAGTTTTAAAAAATAATAGGTGGAATAGTCTTAATTAGCTACATAATCGATTTGATTTCTGAGCCATACTTAATTTTCTTTAGGTTATCACTTATTTCTGTTACAATCTTTAAATGAAAAAAATCCGTTTCATGTACTACCTACACCCTACTCTCTTGCAACACTAAATTGGCAGCACTTCACATTTCAATTTTCTTTTCGTATCTAATTCAGAGTTTAACTGAACAAGTGAAAACATGGAAAAATCAATTCTGAAGCTATTCTGCTCTCTTCCCTCTCTAGTCCCTGGGATACATCAACTCATGGGGCTCTTTGGCATGTCTGGAGACATTTTTTAACGGCTACAACTTGGGATTGTACTGTTATCTATTAGCTAGAGGTCAAAGCCAACCCACTACCATTGAGTAAATTCTGATTCATAACAAGTCTCCAGATCAGTGTATAACTGCCCCATAGGGTTTCCAAGGCTATAATGTTTACAGAAGTAGAATGCTTTGTCTTTCTTCTACAGAGCAGCTGGTGGATTCAAACTGCTACCCCTTTGGTTACTAGCTGGGTACTTTGACCCCTGCTTCATCTGGGCTTTAGTAGAGGCAGGTATACTAAGAAATAATACCATAATGTACAAAGATACCTCCATAACAAAGAATTACCTGGTCTCAAATGTTAATAGTGCTGCTGCTATGAAAACTTTGGTCTAGAGGTAATTGTTATTTTCTGCAGTTAATAAAACAAAATGCTTTGTAATTTCAAACAAATCTCATTGCCATGGAGTCAGAACCACCAGTGGCTGTTAATGGTTGTTGTTATGTGCTGTTGGGTCGCCTGTGACTCATTGCTACACCATGTACAATAGCTCTGAAGACTGCCCTGTCCTGAGCAAGTCTCACTGACTCCAACACACCTAACCCCAATGCCCCATGTCAATCTATTTCATCCAGAATCTTCCTCTCCTGCACTATCCCTCCACCCTTCCAAGCATGATGTCCTTCTCCAAGGACTGGTCCCTCCTGGTGGTGTATCCAAAGTATGAGAGATGCAGCTTCAAAATTCTTACCTCAAAGCAAAACTTGGTTTCACCAAGATAGAACAATTTGTTGTCTGGCAGTCCATGGTATGTTCAATACTCTTCTGCACCACAACTCAAAGGCATCAATCTTTCTTCTGTCATCCTTAGTCATTGTCTAGCTCTTTGATGAACAGCAAGTAATTGTGAAGACCATGACATGGATCAACCACACCTCAGTCTCAAGACTGACATCATTCCTCTTTAGCACATTGCAGAGGTCCCTAACAGCAGACTTCCCCAGTGTAATTCATCTTTTGATGAAATTGTCCATCTTTCTCCTTTGGAATCACTGGTACATTTGAACTGCCAGAGAGGTACCACCTTTGGATTAGCAGAACCTTATGGACTTCCTAGGACACTTAAGCTAATGATTTACATTCATTTACTACTTACTGAGTAATTATTATATGAGGACATATGGTGATAGAAATATAATTACTCTCCTTGGAATTTGTGAGAGAGGGATGATTTTTTTTTCAGGGATGACTCTTTAATAACTCACAAAACCTAAGTTCTTACTAGAAAATGCAATTGTATTATTAAAACTATTTAAGGGCATAGTTGAGAACAGCAAAGAGTAAAAAAAAAATCTTAAGGATGTGCAATTAGATGTACTTGAATACTTGAATTAGGCTAGATGCTGAAAGCTATACACTTGGACCATATTATCTTAAGCCGTTAGAAAGAATGTCTTGACTAAGTTTCATGTTTATGTTCTGAAAGTCAGAAAATCATGTGAAACTCTTTACTAACTTCTTACAGAAATCTTGTACATATGACTCACTGCTACTTCTGTGAAATTCCATAGAAGTTTCTTTCAAAATTAGAATTGGAGAATTTCTTCCCCTCTGATGGTAACTGTGCATCTATTTCCCTTTGGGCTGATTATCATATAAAGCCAAATCTATATAAGGCTCAACAAAATAGACCCTTGCAGCCTTAACATTTGTATATGTTCCCATCTGGTTTTAACTGGGAACTGGTTTTAGCCTTACTTGTTCTGGATTATCTGGTCTTAGTAAAATTTTATAATTTTTTATCTGTTCCTATTGCTCTTTAGCCTTTCTCTAAAATCAAGTGTATTTTATCGGTTCTTCTCCAGAAAATAAACAATTTCAATAAACAACAGTAATACTTAGACATTGCTTTGACAACTTGAAGGAGGTGCCTTCATAAAAGGCAGCAAAAAATCACATGAAACTTTTCCAAAGAATTCATAACTAAGCTGAACACTGACGAAGAAAAGTTGTTGTTGTTATGTGCCGTCGAGTCACCTGCGACTCATAGCGACCCTATGTACAACAGCCCTAAACTCCGCTCTGTCCTGTGCCAATCACACTGTCTCTGACACTCCCTTCCTAATTATCCCAATCACTGAATCAATCCACCTCATAGAGGGCCTTCCTCTCCTGCGCCGTCCCTCCACCCTCCCAAGCATGATGTCCCTCTCCAAGGACCGGTCTCTCCTCACAACATGTCCAAAGTATGTTAGACAGAGCCTCAGAATCCTTGCCTCCAAGGAGCCACCCGGTTTAACCCTCTCCAGGACAAATATGTTTGTTTTCCCAGCAGTCCATGATATTCTCAATACTCTTCTCCAGCACCACAGCTCAAAGGCATCAATTCTCCTTCTATCCTCCTTGGTCATTGTCCAACTCTCTGATGCATAACAGGTGATTGCGAAGACCATGGCCTGTATCAGACGCACCTAAGTCTCCAAAGAGACACCATTGCTCTTCAGCACTTTGGAGAGGTCCCTAACAGCAGATTTTCCCATGACAATGCGCCTTTTAATTTCCTGGCTGCTGGTGCCAAGACTGCTGACTATGGAGCCAAGCAAACTAAAGCTGTGAACAATCTCAATCTCTTCACCATCCATCCTGATGCTGCCAATTGGTCCAGTGGTGAGAATCTTTGTCTTCTTGACATTGAGCCTCAATCCATATTGTAGGCTGCAGTCCTTGACACTACTTTTCGAAGAAAAGTAGGAGATACTTAAATAAAGAACATTTGGAATGAAGAAATATTCTAGGCCAGTAAGAAGAGCAGATGCCAAGGCACAGAGGTGAGAAAGCCCAGTGCACTCAGGGCACAGCAAGTACTTTGCTTTTGCCAGAACAGAGGCATTTCTGGGAGTGCTGAGAGGCAGGACACAGAAAAGGTAAGTAGAACACAGATTACAGAGTGTCAAGTGCTGTGGTGTTAGCATAAAAGTTGGCTTTTTCAGACATTATTGTTAGCTTCCTCTGGTCTCTAGCTACCTTAATTGTAGACACATGGTCTTGCAAATCATCAACAGCTGTGGGACTAGGTTAAGAGAAAGAGTGCTTCCCACATTGGGCAGCAAGACTTGAGCAAAACTTGTGGCAGCATGACTTGAGGGAGACTAGATAAGAGACCCTGGTGGTGGAGAGATTGGCATTACTCTGGAGAAACTGTGGCAAGGTGTAAGCAGAGGAGCCCTGAGTTAAAGATCATTGCTGTTCTTGCTGGATGCTTGAAGTTCTCTGCTCTGAGGCACACTTTGCTGATGATTTGAATTTAACTGCTGAACTGAAACAAGAGCCTGGGCTAATTGAGGAACTGTGTCTTGGAACCTGGGCTAAAACCTGAACTTGTTTTGAGTGATATTCTTTGCCTCCCCCACTCTCCAATTTCCCTAATAAACCCTATTCTCAGTACAACTGTGAGTCTGTGAGTCAACAGCAAATAAGCTCATCTCTTGCTATTGGTGTAGCTCTAGAGGCTGGGCTATGGGCTCTTTATCTGCTTTCTGTTCTTGGGCAGTGAGGGACTGTACTATTCTCACTCCCTTTGGTCCTTTCAGAGAGATGCTTACGGCCTTGTGCCCCTATGTACCATTTTCTGCCTTTTAGACAGTAGACATAATAAAGATTTTACTCTCTGGTCTTATAAGCATTATTGAAAATATGAGTACAGTCAAGAATTTATTGCATAAACTCTGTGTAGGAAAGATGACCCTAATATAAGGAAATCCATTTTTTCACAAACACCAGATGTCTTTTGAAAAAAAAAAAAAATCTCTAAAACTACTTAAGAAAAGATTCCTAATCCCACTCTCATCCCCTCCTCAAACCAGTATATCCATTACCACTATTAACTTTCACAATATTGCCATCAGACAGTTGGGGCATTAACCCATAGGCATAAGTGGAATAAGTCAATGATCTTTGAGTGGGATAACAAAATTCAGAATCCTGATTCTTAGATTTCACATTCATTCTCCTTTGCATCTGATATTACACAAATTTACAAGCAGCTCTAAGAAGAAATAATAAAGAACTCTGATAGTTATGCATCTCCAAACAAGTGGCCAGAATATGTTAGGATTTTATGTCTCCAATTGTTCCAATCACAGTTTCTAATACAGAAATAAAACTATTGAGTGTCTCAGTCCTCGCCTCATTTTGTTTCACAGAGATCTGCATTTCCTTGTGTTCAGGTTCCAACAGCAGCTCTGTTAGAAAGAGGCAGCCGGTGTCATCCTGAGCACTGAGGTAGGCTTTCCATGGCTGAGCCCCTGCTCTGCTCATTGCGATGGTCTGAATGTTCACTACTTGCAAGGCCATCTGGAGGGTTTCGGGGTGGACTGCTGCCTGCCAAGGCAACACTTGGTGATGAGCAACTGTGAGGCTCAGCCAAGTTTTCTCAAAATATTCAGCAGTTATCTGGTGACTGGGGATGAGCGTGAGGGATCCAGACTCAGGGAGTTCTTCTATCTGCTCCTTTTTGTCTTCAGGAATCAAGGGTCCTAAAAAAATCACAGAGCTTGTGTAAGAAAAGTTCTTACTCATCTGTAGGAGTTACATTTTTAATCTAATTGTTCCTAAAATGCACAATGTGATTTTTTTTTAACCTTGGCTAAATTACCATGATAAATGTCTTTCCTGTTCAAAGGCTCAAACTCAGTAGTCTCAGATTTAGGTAGGGTGCTCTACTCTCTACCAGTTATTGCAAAAGATACAGACTTTACAATATAAAAATGTAGCATAAGGACTCTTTTTTACCTGAGGTGGTAAAGGATACAGTGCCAGAAAGCTCTGAGCCACGGTGCTCTGTCCACTGAAGTTTAGAGATGGCTGCCCAATGGGCTTTGCCATACACTGGCACCAGTGTGTTGAAGTCTGAGGCCCAGCTATTCACAGGTCTTTCTGCCTGATCCTCCAAAAGTCTCAGAGAAGGGTCAGATTTAGGGCTACACAGGATCCGCTTAACTTCATCAATACCAGCTAAGAGGAGTCGATAATAGAAGAGACCTCGGTCCCGTACTGCCATATCTTTTTCTTCCTCTGAGATAAGACGAAAGACTGAGTTAATTAAAAACAAAAACTAAGACATTCTCCCACTACCTGTACCAACCATAATGGGGTGGGGAGGGGGGAAGATAAAGAAGAAAGAGGAGGAAACTAGAAAACATTCATATTTTCTTCTCAAGTCCTGGACCTGACTCACCAATGAACACTTTGAGAATTTCCACTATGGGCTCAGGCAAGTACTACTATTTCCTTCTGAAAAAACTTACCTATGCAGTAATATAACAAACGCCCCAGCATGTCCTGGCACTCAGCAGGGCGTGAGAGGAAAAGGCGCAGCAGTGCAGTGAGTAACTCCATCTTCACAGCTGGAAATGTCTCTGACTTCACATTCTCTACAAAGTCCTCCAACACGTAAGGAGCATTGGGAATTTGTTCCCCATGGACTCCAAGTAGCCAAATAAGTGCCTGCTTCCCCTAAAGAATGAAGAAATACAAGCAGGTACTCAACACGTGGCTGCCCAGAACACAGGAGATAAAACACAATTGCTGCTTTGGTTTTTTTCCTTAATGCCACCAGAAAAAGGGATAATCTTATTTATCTCAACTTGTATAAACCCAACTACTACACCCTCTACAGCAAACAGGAATGACATTCTAATGCACAAAAGCAAATCTTGAGATGCTAGTTTCATTGCTTTTGACCACTAGAATGTTATTAAGTAATAAGGCCTCCTCAGTTTTGAATCCTCTGGCCCAATTTAGGGTTTAATGTTCCATAGAAGGTTTTAAAAGAAGTTCTTAAAATCATTTCTTGAAAATTATTAATAGCTTAGAATCATCTGTGAAGTTCTTAAAAAAATACATATCTAAAAAAATTATATATATATGTACTAGGGTAAAGTTCTAAGCTTTACAATAAGTTCAAAGATGATTCTCATTCCAGCTGAAAATTCCACAGGCTAAAACTCTGACTTAAGACTCTTCAGAAGAACAATCATTTCAAGTATGGAAAGTAGTAATGTGTAAAACACTATCACAATTCATAAAATTCATGAGTAAATCCTAAATTTTAATAATTTAAACCCATTTACATCCAAAATAGAATCTGAGATAACAATTAATTTTAAGAACTTCCATTTCTGTGGAAAGAATGAGATTCCACTTCAGAGGGCAGGGTCCGAACATCCCCCTCCTTGCCCGAAGTAAAAGGAAATTGCAGTCTACCTCACTATCTTGGATGTTCTCCTCACAGCCAGGCAGGGCCTGACACACAGCTTCAGTACACTGGGGGCACAGCCAAACCAGGTCTCGGAACGTCTGCACCACCACTACAATACATCCCAAGATCGCAAGGTTAGAGCATCCACTTGATCACAAGGTTAGAGCTGGAAAGACTCTTGAGAAGATTTACTTAGATTTCTGTATGAATTTCTATAAAATGCGTGAAAGTATAATTATCTGGAAAAGTTTGACATGGGCAGTAATTTCTGGAATGACTCTTACCATCAAAATATTATAAGCCTGAACCTACTGTGGAAATAATCTTTAAACCAAAAATATCCCCTGAAGCCATTAAACCAAACAGTAGTTTATATTAATTAGTAAAATATGCCTAATATCTTAAAGGGGCTAGAGCAGTATACCCCTTTTAGAACTAGTCTGAGATCAAACTGACACAGCAATTTGAAAGATAAGACAAGCACTTTGGGGAGAAGGGAATTTATGTTGAGGGGAGATGGGAGGGCAGATAACACAGCAAAGGCAGGTGAGAATGGCTGCACCACTTGAAGAATGCGATCAGTTTCGCTAAATTGTGCATGTTGACAGGATTGGACTGATGTGTGTTTTGCTGTTTATACAGTATCAACAACAACAAAATAAAATATAGGGGGACAAAAAGATTACCATGAGGATAACTGTGCTAATGTATAAGAAAGTGCTTTGGAAAATAAAAGATATATGCAAACATTGGGCAGTTTTGTTACTGTTGATTTATATTCCAAAGACAGTATAAATGAACATACCAGGACCAGGGTTAAGGTAAGAAAGGGGCAGCACAGGGTAAAAATGTTAAGAAGTAACTCAGAGTTAGCCACCTGTGAAATCTGAGAGGTATACCTCCTTAAATTTTGGAACTCAGCATCTCACTTGCCTAACCCTCAGGCCTGGAAGGCTCTGCCTATACAGACTTCCATAAAGCAAAAGGAGGAGTCAGTCGCAACACATGGTGATCTCATGTGTTTCGGAGTAGAACTACTGTCCAAAGGGGTTTTGATGGCTGAAATCTTTCAAAAGCAGAGTACCAGGACTTTCTTCTGAGGGACCTCTGGGTGGCTTTGAACTGCTAATCTTTCAGTCAGTAGCTGAGCACTTAAAATTTTTGTGCCACAGAGGGAGTTGCTGTTGGCTAAAACAAGTCAGTCTGAGCTCAGAGTAACAGAACAAAACTGCTTTGCAATATTTATGAAAGTAGATGGCCAGGTCATTCTCCTGCAGAGCCACTGAGTAGTTTATAATGCCAGTGTCTTTGTTTGCATCTTCGAAGATTTGAAAAGGGTGTGAAGGTGTGAAAGAACTAAAAAGGCCCTACTAGTACATTTCTGATTACACAGTGAAGCCCTGTAGTGACTGTGTAGCCTACAGTCTATCCTATCACATCAATTCTTCTCAGACAGGAACAGATGATAGTGCAAGGAAGAGTTTCTTTCTTTTTTTTTTTTTAATTTATTTTTTGTGTGAGTGTACCGTCAAATCAGATCTGACTGGTACAGGAGGAGATTGTCCCTCCTTTTCCAGCAGAGCATCTGGTGGATTCGAACCGTGTGCCTCTAGGATTGTAGTTGCAGCTCCTTGCCACTAGGCCACCAGAGCTCCCCTAAGAGTTTCTTAAAAACTCTATATGATTGATTCAATAAGAACTGTTTTTTGAGCAACAACTATAGACTCAACAAAAAACCTGGAAAGGCAGCTCTTACCTGTTGTGATATGCTCCTGTCGAAGGCCCAGCAACTCTGTTAGAATCTGTACACACTGCTCTGTGTAGGTCCTGGCAATGCCACCTAGAGGAAGAGAACAGAGAGAACTATGTCAAGTCAAATACCAGGACTTACAACCAAGAAAGAACAAAACAGATGAATGGGACCTTCTAAGAATCAAATCCCTATGTACATCAAAAAACTTCTCCAACAGGGAAAAAAGCAAAGACACAGACTGGGAAAAAATATTTGGTAATGACATATCTGATAAAGGATTCATATCTAAAATTTATAGAATACTCCAGCACTACAACAAGAAAAGGATAACCCAATTGCAAAATGGGCACAGGATATGAATAGTCACTTCACCAAAGAAGACATTCAGATGGCAAACAAACAAATGAAGAAATGTTCAAAATTCCTAGGTATCAGAGAGTTGCAAAAAAAAAAAATTGTATCATCTTACCCCAGCAACAACAGCAAACTTCAACAGTGTAGCAGATAACAAATTCTGGTGTAGTGTGCAGCAAATAACAAATTCTGGTGTAGTGGTGGAGATATTAGAACCCCAACCACTACTGAAGACAGTTTGGCACTTTCTCAAAAAGTTGGAAATAATGCACACCCATGTTTATCGCAGCTTTGTTTACAAGAGTTGGAAGCAACCTAAGGGCCCATCAACAAACGAATGGATAGAGAAGCTGTGGTATAGCCACACAATGGAATACTATGGCACTGAAAAACAAGGAACTCATGCAATATTATTCAAAATGGGTGACCCTGGAGGACATTATGCTGACTGAAATATCTCAGTCACAAAGAGAAAAATACTGCATGGTGCCACTGTTGTAGAACGGGTCTGACAGAAAAAACTGGATAAATTATGTCTATTGTATGAAATAGATGAGGGAAAGAACAGATTAGAGGTGATATATGATTGAGTATTATGGTTAGCACAGGAATCCAGAATTAAGGTTGCATAGAGAAGTGTATTCGGGGTGGGGGGTAGGGGGAAAGGGATGGGGGAATTGTATACTAATGAAGGAATTTTTTTTTTCTTTTTCTTTTCAGAGAGGGGAGCGAACTGGTGGGGAGGGGTGGGCAGGGAGAAAAGTGCGGCAATGAATGATTGGAAATCCAAAACCTCTGTAAATGTTTATTAAAATTAATTAAAAAATGTTGGAAATAGAAATACCATCTGACCTAGCAATTGAACTGTTGGGAATATACTTTAAAAAACCTAGAACTGCTGTCCAAACAGATGTATGCACACCCATGTTTATTGCTGTGTTATGCACAATAGCAAAGAGATGGAAGCAATCCAAGAGCCCATCAACAAATGAATGGATAGAAAAACTACAGTGTAGTCACACAATGGAATACACTGCACTGAAAAATAATGAACTTGTAAAGCCTTACACAACATGGGTGACCATGGAGGACATAACGCTGAGTGAACTCAGTCTCAAAAGGTCAAATATTGCATAACACCACTGTTATGAAGCAGGTCTGACATGGAGGGCTGGGAGGAGAATAGGAAAAGAGTGGATAGATAATAAACACTGTATTAGAACAGATGAGGGAGAGAACTGTTCCAAAGGAATATATGATTAGGCATTACATGTAAGACAATGGTCCAGAATAAGAGGTATATTGCAAAGAGGACTTGGGGTGGGGGAGGGAAAAGAGAGAGGAAGAAATTGTGCAATAATGAATGAATTTTAAAAAAAAACTGGAGAAAGGGGAGGGAGGGGGAGGGAGGAAAATGTTTAACAATGAATGAATGAAAATCCAATTTTTTGTAAACTTTTGTCAAAATCACAATTAAAATAAAAAATTAAGTTAAAAAAATAAGCAAGGGGAAAAAAACCCAACAAATACCAGGACTTCATTCTAAACTCATTTCCTCACCAGTTAATCTGTAGGAGAATAAAAACCCCAAAGCTCCTCTTGAAGATAGATTCTGTTTGTTATAAAGGAAACTTTGTTAAAAATGAATCCATTTTTTAAATAAACCACTAGGAAACTAGGAGTTCATGGAAAAATATTTCCCACTGAGCAGGGTGGAAAACATTCAGTTACAAAGGTGTTTACATGTGAGATACGAAGCGCACTGCTGACTGTGTGGCATGCCTACACCGGAACATTTCTTCTGAGAGCACCTAACAGCAGTCTCTTGACTGCAGGGTTTCTATTCATTTTGCCCCTACAAATAAACATGTTAGGGGGCTGACAAATCAGCTCTGACTCACAGGAACCTTATGTACAAAAGAATGAAGCACTGCGCATTTGTGACCCTTCTCAGGGGGCAGCGCCTGAGCTCACGGTTACTGTGTCCACGCATCTCACGGAGAGTCTCCTGTCTGACTCACTACTCCACCAAGCATCATGTCTTCCTCTGAGGACTGGTCCCGGCTGACAACATGCCCACGGCATCTGAGACAAACCTGACCATCTTCGCTTCTAAGGAGCACTTTGGCTGTGTTTCCTCCAAGACAGATTTGTTCGCTCTTTTTGCAGTCCATTGTAGAGTCTGTATCTTTCCCCATAGCTCATTCCAAATATAAGAGTTCGTCCTCTCTTTCCACTCTAAATGCTCCCAAACTTAACTTCCTCAGTGTTTTCATTTTACAAATCACTATAGCCTTAAACTTCAGAGATGTTAGTAGGAAAATGTCTATAGCTGTAGGATTTATTCTCTGATAGTCTCTGTACTTAGCAAAATGTATAGCACATTTCATTTGAAACTCAGTAAATGGCGAGTGAGTTGGTATCAGACAGGAAGGCTGAGTTCCAGTCTTACTCTCTAGAATAATTTGACTTTTGGGAAAATTAATAACCTTTCTATGTCTGGGTTTCTTTCTTTTAAATGGATGCTAACAAAAACTAGCCTTACCCTGAGTACATCACAAGACTGGGGTATGATATAGAAAAGCATTCTGGTTGGTAGACTACAAAAGGCAATGTAAACTCTAAATGCTGTGGTTCAGATTAACTTCAGTCAAAGAGTCCTGCACTCACCATCCTGAGATATATGGCAAGCCCGTGTCTTAAAAAAACAAAACACACATACCCTTCTCCCTCTTTCTTTGAACAGAGTCTTTGACTCAGTGCACGTTGTCTCTGCGGCAAGATTCCTTTCCCTTTTGCTCTCAAGAATTCCTTTGGCCACAGCTTTCTAGCTAGCTGACCTAGGCACTCAAAAGCAAAAAGCAGCAGATACCTACCTATTGCGAAGATGGCAGCCTGCGCAAAGTCAACAGACACGTCAGTGCAGTATCCTCGAAGCTCCTCTAACACCTGCTGCACGTTCTCATCGTTCACCAGTTCACAAAGCACCTCCACCTTCTGCAGCTTGATGTAGTGGGGCTCCGAGTAGGAGCAAAAAAATTTCTTGTAGTGGCTGCTAAAGTGACCTGGCAGGCTATGCAGGATCTGGCGCACGTGGCAGAGGGCAGCGAAACAGAGCTCACGGCTCTCTGAAGAACAGGCAGCAAGCAAAGGTCCCTTGACTCGAACAAGCACATCCTTTTGCACATGGGGGAAATTCTTGGCCAAGATCAGAAAGAGTTTGGTGGCTCCCATCACCACACCTGGACTACTGCTCTTGAGAAAGCTATCCAACAGATTGAGAATGTCAAATAGTTCCTCCTCACTGTGTGGCTGGTACCGCAGCAGAAAGTTCAATACTTCACCCTGGCCCCACTGGTCCAGTTTCGACATTCTAGTCAAAAGAGGAAATAAAAACACTGTTTTAGTATCAAAATGGGAGCCATCTCTATGCCATTACCCTACTACCAATAGGCTGTACATCCTAACAAAGCAAGATTTTTTAAAAAAATAGGTTTCACTATAAATACTTTTTTATATAGTTTACACAAAATAGGCTTAAAATTTACACAAAATAGGCTTAAAATTCCAAGGGAAGCTGATTATACACATGCACATGTATCTAAGACCAAAGACATAATCAGTATATCCTGGACACAGATTTTCTACATTTTAAAAGTATCAATGGCTTACTTTTGGAGACACAATAGCTGTGGAGGAGGATAAAGTCTATCATAACAACTCAGCAAATTATTGCCATAGAATCAGACCCAATTCATACTGACCATCCAGGAGGTTTTCAGAGGCTGCAAATCACACAGGAGGACATAACTTTCTCCCATGGAACTGCTGGTAGATTTGAACTATCTAGCTTTGAATTGGCAGTGCAACTCCTTACCTACTAAACCACCAAAGCTCCACTTCCTAATTCAACAAGATCCCACCAACTATGAGATAGCATCTCACCCCAGTAAGAATAGCAAAATTTAACAGAGCAGCAAAAAACAAATGCTGGCGAGGTTGCGCAGAAACTGGAACACTTATTCACTGTTGGTGGGAGTGTAAAATGGTGCAACCACTATGGAAGGCTGTATGGCACTTTCTCAGAAAGTTGCAAACAGAAAAACCATTTGACCCAGCAATTCCTCTATTGGGAATATACCCTAAAGAGACCACAACTGCCACCCAGGCCGATATATACACAACCATGTTTATTGTGGCTTTGTTCACAACCGCAAAGAGCTGGAAACACCCTAAGCACCCATCAACAAATGAAGGGAAAGAGCATCTGTGGTATATTCACACAATGGAATACTATTCTGCATTGAAAAACAAGGAACTCAAGCAATATTATTCAAAATGGGTGACCCTGGGGGACATTATGCTCCGTAAAATATCTCAGTCACAAAAGGACAAATACTGCATAGTGCCACTGTTAATAGAATGGGATTGACATCAGGGTTAGGGTGAGACTGAGAAAAATTGGATAAATTAAATATACTGCATTGAAACAGATGAGGGAGAGAACAGTTTAAAAGCAATATATGATTGGCTATTATGGCTATGATGGGACTCCAGAGTGAAGGTTGCATAGTGGAGTGCACTGGGTGGGGGTGTATACCACTGAAGAAATTCTTCTTTTATTTTTCAGAGAGAGGAGCGGACTGGGGGGAGGGGTGGGCAGGGAGAAAAATGCAACAATGAATGAATGGAAATCCAAAATTTCTGTAAATGTTCATTAAAATTAATAAATTTTTAAAAAATTTAAAAAAACAACCATACAGATCCCATAAAATAAAGAGAACTAAGGTATCCAAACCGATTTAGTAGGTGATGGGCAATAGGTTTATTGATGACAACACCCCCTTCATGCTTCAGAATTTCCTCTAGAGCTCTCAGGCAGTTTACTACCACGATCGGATCCTGGTCACGCAGCAAACTGTACAACTCATTTACCAGAGTACCATCTACAAAAGAGAAGTTAAAAAGAGAGGATAAAGAGCTCAGGTCAAGAAGAAAAGCACTAGTATCATCGAAATCACACACATATTTAAATTCTCTCCCTAGGCTGAGTGGCCTAGGACTCGACAGCATTTAGCAACTACAATAATAACGAGAGAGCTAAGTAGGCCTAGTAGACAGAAAGTTATGCTATAAGCCAAAGGTAGGTGATTTTAATCTGCAGACCTCAGGCCTGGTTTTAATTGTTTTTGGTCAAACATGATTCTAAGTGGTATAGCACTAGTCTGTCAATTTGCTGTACAGAGGTAATTCATGGTTGCTGTGATGCTGAACACTGTGACTCTGATGTGTTGAATGTGAAAATGGTTACCCTTGGTGGACAGTGTTTGGTGGAGCTCCCTGATTAAAACAAGCTTGGGAGCAGGAGTTGCATCCACCTCCAAAATGGCTTGCTTCTGGAAACCCTATGAACTTGGAGAAATGATGAAAATGATACAAATGTACAGGTCTTTTGTTCATAGGGTCACTATGAACCATCTATGGCTCGACAGCACTTAACAACAACACAACATCATCAAAATAGAGCCAGAATAATAATGACAGGCAAACAAAGCTGAGCTTTCACAAGCCAATACCGAAAGAGGCAATAACAACTCCAGCCTCTATATAACTGGTGTAAAGGCGTACAATGGGCCAAAAAGAAAGGACTTCTTTGATCTCAGAAAACAGAAGCCCTACATTCTACTTAAAGAGACATGTATAGAAGTGGGGCTACATAATTATTTTCTACTAAAGTTAAATGGTCTTTTACAAAGCAATACATGTAACAGAGACTCAAATAAATATTAATTGTGATGTATTACACTGAAACTTACCTACTTCAGAGTCTCCATGAAGATTATGCATTTTGGCACAGCCAAGGACAGCCACTCTCCTGACATATGAAGCCTTATCCCGCAGGCCATTGAGAATAGGCTGCTGGATATATTCCTGCACACCAGGCATCCTAAACAACACAGACTAGAGTGAGTCACATCCTGAATCTAACATAATTTAACACCTGTTATACTTAACAATTGGCAGTAGAGTAGCATCCACTTCCTAAACAACATGCCTCTGGAAACTCTATGAACTTTGATAAATGTTAATAGTTATGGGAAGGCTTTAGGCCTTTTGTTCCTATGGTCACTACGAGTCATGCTTGACTCGAAGGCAATCAGCAACAACATACTTTACAAGGGGTTCTGTAGATGTTTGAATGTGTAGCTATTAAATCATGACGAATTGTAAAAGTCTCTACCCAACTTTTTAAAAAGCCACAGTTAGACTTTTCATTTGGAATAATACCACAAAGGCAGTACCAAAAAGCCAAACCCTTTGCTGTCAGGTCAATTCCGATTCACAGTGACCCCACAGGATAGAATTAGAAGTCCACCTTAGGGTTCCCAAGACTGTCACGTTTATGGAAGCAGATCACCACATCTTTCTCCCTCTGAGCACCTAGTGGAGTTGAACTGCCAACATTTTGGTATGCAGTTGAGCCCTTAACCACTGTGTCTCATCAGGGCTCCTCACAAATAAAGATACATATATAACTGTGTTTTGACATTTTGAACCAAAATCACGGCCCATTTCAGAGAGTGAAGACAGAAACTACCTTTAATAAAACTTATGATTTTATTCAATCAAAGCAATGGCAGAAAATTTGAGTTTAAAGCAGTGTGTTTTTCTCTCTTTTAGAACCAATTAAATGGGTGTCATTAAACACATGCCCCACATCCTTCGGCCACTGAGCAAGGAGCGGTGCAAGAGGACACTCACCTGAGGCTGCACATGCTGCGAAGCGCCAGCCCTCGGACCATCGGGTTGGGGTCGGAGCAGTCTTTGCACAGCGTATTGATAGCAAGAAGAGCCAGATCTGGTTTCAGAGGAGCATAGGTGCACATATATAAATAAACCAACTTCTTCTGAACAATATCTACAGTGGCACTGGCCTTCACCATTTCCATGAAAATGCTGGACATGTCCAGTCCCTGAGTCATATGCCTGAAAGTAAGATACCAGGAAGGAAAACGTAAAATACAAAATTACCAATCTACCACAAAGAGAGGTTTAGCTATGCATGCCTTACCTATCCAATCAAACTAGTCCATTAAAGGGAAGCAACCAGGCCTAATCTCATGGGTTACATTATACAGCACTTTACACCAAGGTCCTACAATTAACAATTTTTCCTACTCATAACTGACACATACTGAAACATACATTGCAGGGAAATTGAGCTCTTACATTCTTACATTGTGTCTTGGGAAAAGATGGTCTAAGAGCTATAGGAGCACAAAGTCTAATCAAAAAGGCAGATAACCACTCCCTCTAATTACAATACAATGTGATAAAATATTATAACAAAGGAATGTACAAGTTTAAGTGGAATCCAGAGGACTGACACATATTTGCAGGAAGTCAACAAAAGTTTTCTTCACACAGGAAATAATACTTTAGCTGAATGAGCAAGAGCTCACTAGACAGATATCATAAAAGAGGTAATGATGCATGATGGCATAAGCAAGAATGGTATTCTTTTGAGATTAGATGTGTAGATGGTTGAATTAGGTGGGTGCTCCTTGGGTGCTATAAGCCGCTTAAACTTGGCTGTTTCTCAAAAAAAAACAAAACCCATTTCTCAAAATGTGGTATTCTATCAGAATCAGCTGAGAGGTTTATTAAAAATGTAGACTTTTGGGTTGGCAGGCAAGCACTTTGCTTATCAAACTCATGTCCAAAATGTCTACAGCTGTCTCTACTCCCCAGACATGCTCTTTGGTGTTTGTCTTGAATATCACCACACTACTAATTGAACTGAGTCATAAAGAAACTTGGGAGTTAACTTTGATGCCACCTAGTTTATCGGTTTTCATGTCGGATGAAATGGATTCGTAATTCATTTTACTGGCACTGCAGTTCTGGTTCAGGCCTTCATCACCAAGTTAATTACAGTAACTTACCCAGTAGGTCAGCTTGCCTTCTCATCATAGAACAATTTTTCAACATGCAAACCTAAATATTAAATCACCTATAGCTTGGTTCTCAAGCTTTAGTTCGTATGAAAAATCCTCAGGGATATTTTTTTAAAAAATGTAAACCGTCAGCAGTTGGAACTCAAGAGCAGGAACAAGATAAGGCAGTCTGCTTTTGTAAAGATTCACAGCCTTGAAAAGCCTGTGGGGCATTTCTGTCCAGTCCTATCCGGTCACAATGTGTATGAATCTACTGATGGCAACAGGTTTAGATTTTGCGTTTTGATCAATTATCCAGAAATGGATATGGAAATGGCAGCAGGTGGTAGATTACGTGGGTCTAAAGCTAAGTGGTTCTACCATCCCATAGTCACATGGTTGAAATTCACCAGCCGCTCCGCTGGAGAAAGATGTGCAATCTCCCATGCAATTTATTGCATTGGTTCCAACTCCACAGTACGTAACTACAATGCTAAGAAAGGCCGTCTAGGCTAAGATGTATTACAGACTCTTCAGAAGGTGTAACTGTTGAATCTGAGATATGAATGAAATCACTCAATCGAGTAAAACATGTTCCACAAAGACGACTGTTTTTGTTGCTCCAAGATAAACATGAAGTAAACCATAAAAATGTCATGTATGGGGATGGGGAGGGAGGCAGTGCTATGTATGAAAGCTCATTTACTCACTCTGCGTGAGCTGGGGTGGAGAGCCCTGCTGGGGACTGCAGTGGGGAAACTGGAGAGCCCCGCTGGGGACAGCTCGGAGGCTAAGAGAATCAGAAGATACCTAATCACTCGCTGGATGACATTCCGGTAGCGCAGCCTATCAGCCTGAATGTGAGGGTTACACATAGCCTTCTTCAATTCTTTCACCACGTCCTCGGAGCCCAGGTAAGGCATCTTCTCCAACTGTCACAGGGTCCTACCTAGATAACTGCTTTTAGCCCTTGAATGGGAACCTGTGTAAAGAAAACTCCAGTCAGTGAAGAGTCTAAAACCAAGGCTCCGCCCCCGATTGGGCTAACCCAGGGCCCGAACCCTAGACCTCGGCCACTCACCCTTCACCCCGAAAAGCCCCACCCCGGCCCTTTAGGCTCTCCGCCGCACCTCCAAATTAGTTCATTCCGCCCATAGAGCGCTCCTGTTAGGAGGGCCTTCAGCCCGCCGGCTGATCTGCAACCCCACCCGCAGACCCCTCCCCGCCCCAAGTAGCAGCCTTTCTTGAGACTCCGCGTGGTGGTTGTCACCGAGAGGCCCAATGAGGCTTTCTCCGGAAGTCCCGCCCCCTAGCCCAGAGGCGCCACCAAGAGGCAGCGATTCACCCGCTCCCAGCGAGCGAAGAGTCGAGCCTAGATCCCGACCTTAGGGCGCCCTTCCCCCAACCTTTCACCTCAAGGCGCAGCTGCGAGGCTCCCTCTGCTGGGCAATCGGAAATCGGAAATCGGCTACTTCGGCCTGTCTCCGCCCAGCAGCGGGCGCTTTGACTTCCCGAGCGCGGCGGTGTTTCCCGCGCGGGTGGAAGAGACGCTTATTCGGCTGTCTTCCGCACTATGGGAATCTGCTGCGGCACCGCCTTCTCCGGGCACGACTACTTCCTTTCTACCCACTCTTGCAATTTCTTGCTCCACGGGGTTGGTTTCCCCTTAGACTCTGTGGCCCCGTCCCTGCCCTAGCATAGGATTTCTCGGGACGCCCCTGTGGAAGCCTCCCGCGAGCCCCCTCTCCCCATGACAGTATTGCCCGTAGTTCCCCCTGACCATGAACGGGACTGTGATCCCGCACACGCCCATCGCTGTGGACTTCTGGAGCCTGCGCCGGGCGGGCTCCGCGCGCCTGTTCTTCTTGTCCCACATGCACTCGGACCACACTGTGGGCCTGAACAGCACCTGGGCGCGGCCCCTCTACTGCTCCCCAGTCACCGCCCACCTTTTACATCGCCGCCTGCAGGTATGAGGGGCTGGAATCCCCCCACTGAAGGGCTGGGCCGTGCCAAGGTGGGGTCCCTGTCAGCCTTGGAGCCTAACCCCGTGGGGACCCGGAGGACTGGGTTTTCAAATCAGAATGTTATTTGAACTCAGAAGTGTTAGGAGTGTGTGCCTTCCAAGTGCCCAATTTGGGATAGTTCACCTATAAATTGGGGAAAATCTTTTACCCTTTGCACGTGAATGAGGCCAGCGTTTCCCAAATTTGCTTTGTTTCCTCACCAAATTTACAAGAGCTGCCCTGTAGGGTTTTCAAGGCTATGAATATGAAAACTGACTGCCTAGACTTTTCCCGAAGGAGGGGAGGCCTGGCCGTTCCAGCCACCAACCTTTTGGTTTGCAGCTGACTTCTTTAACCACACTTCCACCAGATATTCTTACCTCCTCTTCAGAATCTACATGATGTTAAATATACAGATTCTCAAGGCTCCCCATCGTCACACCCCAAGACTCAGTGAAGGTCTTAGAAATCTAGCAAGAATTTTTTAAACTCAAATACACCCTGAGGAATTACGATTAGGAAAGCCTGGGAAACATCAACTACACCATTTTTGTGTGGTGTTTTTGTTGTGGGTGTGTTTTTTTTTTCTAAACAAAGGGTGGCTAGGAAGAGGCTGATTACTCGGGGATCCACCATTGTAGCTTCTAATGTGTTGGGGGGTGTCTCTGGATTTAATCAGTTTACCCTGATCGATCCAGGGAGCATCTGGGAGGAGAGTCTGTGGTTAGCGGATGACCAGCTGTTTCTTTAGGTATCTAAGCAGTGGATCCGGGCCCTGGAGGTTGGTGAGAGCCATGTACTGCCTCTAGATGAATTTGGGCAAGAGACCATGACAGTAACCCTCATCGATGCGAACCACTGCCCTGGATCTGTCATGTTTCTGTTTGAAGGATACTTTGGAACAATTCTCTACACAGGTGAGTCTCCTGAGAGATCCCTCCCACCTATCCAGCATAGACTAATTTTCTTGAGGAATCTTAGCACACAGTAGACTGTGAAACTTCATCTTATGTAGGAACAGTGACCCTTCTCAGTCAATTTTCCACTTGTGTAGAGTAATTTAAAAACAAGAGCAGAATGGGGAAATTGCCACAAGAAGGATGTACACACAGAGAAGTTCAGTGCCTGCGTAGATGATAGCTTTTCCATAGGCCAGTAAACAAATGCCTGTTTGTTGTTGGAGTTGGGCGAGGCTTATCTTCCTTTCTTTTCACTTTTTTTACTTTTTAATTAATTTATTTATTTTACTCTTTCTAGTTGTTGTTGTTGTGTGCTGTCGAATCAGATCCTACTGGCACAGAACTGTGCGCCTTCGGGATTGCAGCACAGCTTCTTGCTACTAGACCACCATCTTTTGACTTTTGTCTCTGTGGTCCTTCCAGTGACTAGAAACTGTCCTTGCTGATTCCTCTAGAATCAAGAACTAGCCATTTCCTGAATCAGGAAAAGCTCCCCAAGACCTGAGGCTCCCTGGAACAGAAGATGTTATTGGGGTTCCCCAGAAAGCCTCTGTCCCTCTTATATTCTTCTTCCAGGTGATTTTCGATATACACCATCCATGCTAAAGGAGCCGGTCCTGAGTCTGGGGAAGCAGATCCATACCTTATACCTAGACAACACCAACTGCAATCCAGCCTTGGTTCTTCCTTCCCAAGAAGAAGCTACTCGTCAGATTATCGAGCTCATTCGAAAATACCCACAGCATGATATAAAGATTGGTGAGTGGTTCCTTTTTAAAAAACAAAACAACAACACTCAAAGCTAATGTATTCTTTGAGGATTCTCACATCTCCCAAGTTTTTGTGTAGATATCTACCTACCCGATTACCTTATTTAAAGCAACATGCCTGCCATTCTCAGCCCACATTCCTAACTTCTGATCTTTAATTGTCCAATTGCTGTAGTGCTTGTCAAAGCCAGTTCTGATTAATCTCCTTTGTCATTGTGTCCTTTGCCATTCCCTATCACTCCTCCCTGAGAGAGACTTCACCCTGATTCATAAGGAAAAGAGGATGGTGTATTCTCTTAGCTACTTCCTGCTGAAAAGGGACACTATGGGTCTAACTCCTGATCTTGTATGGTTCTACTTTTTCACAGAACTCTTCATCTTCTAGTATAGTCTGTCCTTTTGTTTTTTAATGTGTTCCTGCACGTACATACTTCTCCTGCACTCCCATTTTGCTCCCAGCCAGTAACACACACACAACTATAAATTCCTTACAGATGTAGTTGAAGATGAGAAAGAACTTTTGTTTATATGTTTGAGCAACAGTAACCAGTGTGACAAGAGCACAATAGGTGAAGATTAAAGTGTCCCGAGAGGGAAGGGGCTAAGGAAGTGGTTGTTGTTAAATGTCCTGTACTGAACTACCACTCATAGTGACCCTATGAACAACAGATCTGAACCTGCCCTGTTCTGTGCCAGCCTCGCAATCTCTGCCACACTCAGTTCCGTTTTTGCTGTCACTGTGTTAGTCCATCTCCTTGAAGGTCTTCCATTTTTTCTCTGACACTTCACCTTTCTCAGCATGATGTCTTTTCCCAAGGATTGACTTCTCCTGACAACATGCCCAAAATATGTGAGGCCAGAGTTTCACCATCCTTGCCTCTAAGGGACACCTTGGTTTCCTTCTTTCAAGACAGATTTTTTTGTTCTTTTAGCAGTTCAGGGGATATTTAGTACTTTTTGCCACCACCACATTGAAAGACATCAATTCAAGTGGAGCTCTGGTGGCCTAGTGGCAAGAAGCTGTACTGCAATCCCATAGATACACGGTTCAAATCCACCAGATGCTCTGCTGGAGAAGGAGGGAAAATTTCCCTCCTGTACCTGTCAGATCTGATTTGATGGTACACGCACAATAAATAAATTTTAAAAAAAAGAAAGACATCAATTCAGTCTTCTTATTCACTGTCCAACTTGCAGTTGAAAATACTATGGCTTGGCTCAGGTGCATCTTAGTATTTAAGTTGACATCATTGTTCTTTAATAACACTTTGGCAAGATCCTTGAGTACAGATTTTCTAGATAAAGCATATCTTTTGATTTTTTTTTTTACTTTTGATTTCTTTTTATTTTATTTTACTAATTTTTTTAAATAGTTTTAATGAACATTTACAGAGATTTTGGATTTCCATTTATTCATTGCTGCACTTCTCTCCCCACCCTACTTTTGATTTTTTTGACTGCTGCTATCATCTGACATACTTTGGACATGTTGCAAAGAGGGACCAGTCCTTGGAGAGGGACATCATGCTTGGGAGGGTGGAGGGACAGCGCAGTAGGGGAAGACCCTCTATGAGGTGGATTGATTCAGTGACTGGGGTGATAGGGGTGGGGGTGTCGGAGACAGTGAGATTGGCACAGGACAGAGCAGAGTTTAGGGCTGTTGTACATAGGGTCGCTATGAATCGCAGGTGAATTGACAGTACATAACAACTACCGTGGATGTTGATTGTGGATCCAAATAAAATTTGACAACTTCATTTTTTCCTCTATCAACATCCTCTGTGCTGTTGCCAATTAACCCAGTGAAGATTTTTGGTTTTTTTTTTATGTTGAGATGTAATCCATATTGAGGGTGGTAGTCTTTGATATTCTTTAGTAAATAAATGCTTTGAGTCTTCTTGGCTTTCTGTATTTTATTTTGTACTCAAATCTATATGTAACCGTTGTTCTAAGTCCTAAGAACTGTTAAAAGATTTTAAATACTTGAAGGTCAGAATGGCACCATCTTGGTTCTTCTGATGTCAAAATTATGGTAGCTCAGTTCATGTAGTTTCTAAGTCCTTTGGACTAGTAGTTTCTGTGTATAGTTGATTGTTTTCGTTCTTCTTTACTGCAGAAGTAGGGAGGCCAATAACCCCTTAAATACCCCTCACAAGCTTTAAAGATTTGTCACTACTAGCTAGAGAAGACTGTAGAGCATTCTTTGTGGACTATGTTGTGCCATTTGACCTTGATTCCCATAGAAGAACATGGAATTTAAATAATAATGTGCTTTAAATTAGATATCTTGGAGTGGGGGAGAAGCTACATGCCTATTCAAAGGGTGCTGTAATGGTACAAAACATTTTGGGAACCCCCTTTTTTGGGGTTACCCTTTGAGATTGTTGTTTAATGCCGTCGAGTCGTAGACGACTCATAGCGACCCTATGAACGAACAGCCTGAGCACTGTTCGTACATAGAGTTTCCGGAGGCAAGCCATTTCGGAAGTGGATGCTGCTCCTATTTCCAGTCTTGATTTACTCGGGAAGCTACAGCCAACACTGTCCACCCTTTGAGATAGTTTATGAAAATCAGTTTTTATTATGAAACAATATAATTTAGTTCTAATATTGTTTCCAAAATTATAATAATCCTCAAAAGGAAAAAGTTGTACCACCATTTAATTTTGTTTGCTTCTTTTTTGTGGTGTTTTTTATTTTTTGTTTGTTTTTTAATAATTTTAATGAGCATTTACAGAGATTTTGGCTTTCCATTCATTCATTGCTGCACTTCTCTCCCTGTATTTTTATTTTTTTATTACTTTTTGTGTGTGTACTGTCAAATTGGAACTGACTGGTACAGGAGGAGATTGCCCCTCTTTCTCCCCAGAGCATTTGGTAGATATCACCATTGTATTTTAAGAGGACATGTCCAACTCTGAAAGAAGTTTCAAAGTGAAATTAAACAAAAGCATTGAAAGATAATTGCTGAATAGTCTGAGAAATAGCCTTTGTGCCCAGAATTGTTTGAATGCTTATGAAGAAGTATCAGTCTTGTGAGAAAGTTAGCAGTTTTATTGAACTTTACTTGTAGAGATTATTGAACAGCTATATGATCTTAGTACCAACAACTAATGCCAAAGATGATAATGGATTTTTATCAACTTTTGTAATTTGAAATGGAATAATCTGACATAGAAACCCACCGATACTATCAAGTTGATTCTGGCTCCTAGCAGCCCTCAGAGTCACAGTTGTTGTTGTTAGGTGCCAATGATTTGAGTACAACTCATAATGACCCTATGAATAAAAGATCTGAACCCTGTTCTATCCTGCTTCATCTCCACCCTTTCCAACATCATGTCCTTTTCCAAGGAATAGCTCCTTCTAGCAGCATGCTCAAAGTAGGTGAGGGGAAGCTTCATCATTCTTGCCTCCAAAGAGTACTCCAGCCATACCTTCTCCAAAACATATCTGTTCATTCTCTTGGCCATCCATGAAATGTTCTATGCTCTCCTCTGGTACCACAGTTCAAAGGCATAAATTCTTTTTCTCTGTCATCCTTATTCATTGTCCAGTTCTCAGATGCATAGCTAGTGATCAGAAAGATTATGGCCTGAATCAGATGCACTTTAGTCCTCAAACTGACGTTGCTACTCCTCAACAATTTGGAGAACTCCCTAACTGCAGATTTTCCCAGTGCAATGTGTCTCCTTATTTCCTGACTGCTGGTACCAAGGGTGTTAATTGTGGATCCCAGCAAGATAAAGCTGTTGACAGTTTCAATCTCCTCTCCATCCATCATGACGTTGCCTATTGGTCCAGTGGTAAGAATCTTTGTTTTCTGACATTGAGATGCAATCCATACTGAAGACTGCATTCCTTGATCTGCAACAAGTACTTCAAGCCCTCCTCATATTCAGTAAGCAAGGTTGTGTCATGTGCATAACACAGGTTATTGATGAGTCTCCCTCCAATACTGAAGCCACACTCCTCTTCATAGAGTCCAGTTTCTTGGATAACTTGTTCAGCACACATATTGAATAGGTACAAAGAGAGAATACAACCATGACATAATCCCTTCACATCTCCAAACCATACAATGTTCCCCTGCTCCATATGCACAACAGCCTGCTGGTCCAGGTTTGGGTCTTGCATAAGCACAGTTAAGTGCTCTGGGATTCCCATTCTCAATGTCAGCCATAACTTGTCATGATCCAGACAGTCAAATACCTTTGCATAGTCAATAAAGCACAGATAGACATTCTGCTAGTTTTCCTTACTTTCAGCCAGGATCCATCTGACATGAGCAGTGATAACCCTCTTGCCATGGCCTCTTCTAATGTTAAGTAGTACTCTTCTTCTACAGTACCACAGCCCATTCCTTTTTTTTTTCAAAGCTGGAAATCTTATAGAAGCAGATGGCCTCATCTTTCTCCCACAGAGCAGCTGATAGATTCAAACCTCTAACCTTTCAGTTAGCAGATAAATACCTTAATTACAATACCACCAGAAATCCTAATCTATACCACTCATTGTCACTGAGTCAATTCTTTTTTTTTTAATTTTATTTTTATGAACATTTACAGAGATTTTGGATTTTCATTAATTTATTGTTGACTTTTTCACTGAGTCAATTCTAACTCATAACCACTCTCCACCAGGTTTCTAAGGCTGTAAATCTTTATGATAAGAAACTGCCTAACTTTCTCCCTGGGAAGACATACTGTGTTCAAACTGTTGACCTTTTGGATAGAAGTTTTAACACTTAACCTACTATGGCTCTTGGACTCCTTGAGAACTTATTAAATATTTACAAAATCAATCAAGCTTTTATCATAGCACCCTTGTATACAGTTGTGCTTCGTGCGTAAACTGCATTGCAGCCTTAGAAACCTGATGGAGATGGAGCCATCTGCTTCTATAGAGAAGGTGCTAACATTTCTAAGGCTGTAAGTCTTTATGACAAAGACTGCCTGTCTTTCTTTCTGGGAACACACAATGTTTTCA